AACAAGCAATTAATAAATTGAATTTTTCTAAAATGAAATTTTTATTCTCAAATTACAAAAAGAAACAAAAAAACATTTTGTTTTACTTTTAGGATTTTAGGAAAACATTTAATTTTTATGTTTTTCTTGTTTTTTTTTCGTATTTTTTTTTTTTTTTACTTTTCTGTTCTTCTATAGAGATATGCAAATTTACATAAACAAATAAATTTTATAGATTGTTTTTTATTTTTTAATTACAAAATATTTTTCAAATTTGGAAGGTTTGAAATAAATTAAAAGTTCTCACTTTGCTTGTAATTTGATTGGTTTTAATGCGTTCGTAATTTGAAATTTTTTTGTTTCTTACATTAAAAACTTGTATGGGTATTAAAAAGGAGTAAGTAATAAAAGTTCTCGCTCTAGAATTAGTAAAAATTTTAAAAATAATAAAAAAAAAGAAAATTAACAAAATGTGTTTGTAAGTATAGGTAAATAACTGTGCTGAATTCGAATTGAAGACTAAAAATTAAATTTTTGAAGTTATTATGATTCGCGAAGTAAATGTCCTCGTTCTCGAATTTGCCTAAATGATAATTATGGTTAATAAAGAAATATGAAAACTAGGCGAATAGTTTATAATATTTTAATGCTTTGTCGAGGCTATTGTGAAAAAAAGGTAAAATATTTGTATTAAAATAATTAAATAATTTCTAAGTATCCATAATAAGGCATAAAAATAATATCAATGTAGTATCTACTGCCTTTTATAAACCTATTCTTTGGTTTTTTAATGACAAAACAAAAGTAGCGTTTGTATATGTATACGTAATATACGATTTCATAAATTTTTAGTTAAAACAAATCGAGAGCAATTCGCAAAATTGGTAGAACTAATGAAAAACAATCCGGATGTAGTTCATGGTGGAATTAAATTCGAACTCAACAAGAATATATTGAAGGAAATCTGGGTAAATTTTGCTGTGGAGCAAAGCGCTTTGGAATCTTCAGTGGAGCCTCCAATAGATTTGATGGATTTCTTATATATCTTCGTATTCTTCCAATATTTTAATTTTCTTATTTTTCTGTACGACTATTAGTATACCCATAAAAATAAAATAAATCGGAAACTCATATATTAAAAATGTTAAAATATCAATTAAATATTAAATTTTGGAAAAGTGTATTGAACCTACATTAAAATCTAGATTATTCTCTTTATTTACTTTTTTAATAATTTCAAATGTAATTTTTTTTCTTTTGAATCTTGATTGCAACTAGCGAATTTAATTGTTCGTAAAACATAATATCATTTTGGCGAATATTCGAGTAAGAGTTAGCTTCGAATATTTCGAATACGAATCATAATAACCCCATTTATTAGTAAATTTTTGTTTTTCTTACAACTTTTAAATTTAAATACATTTTTTTCTCATTTCAAATGAATTTTTTCTTAAATACATTATGTAATTATAGTCTATTATATTCGTTCTTTTATTTATTCAAATATTTTTTTTCTGTTTTTTCAATAAAATTTATTTATTCATTTATTTTTTGTATTTTTCATGAAAAAATTATTGTAAAAATAATATACGGCAAGAATTTTGCATATACAAAAAGTTTTTTTTTTATAATTTCGTTTATTTTTTTTTAATTTAATGATATTTTCATTTTATTAATTAATAATTGATCTATTATTATTTTTTTTTCTATAAATAATGTAATTTAAATTTTTTTTAATTTTCTTTTCATTTTTTTTTTATAATAAATTGTCAACAATTATAATATAGTATTTAAGTACTTTAATATTAATTTTAATGAAATTTTTTTTAAAAATAAATAGAGTGTTATTTTTATTCAAAGGATTTTACCGAAAAAAAAAATATATTTTTTAATTGTGAAGAATTATTTAAGTAAATTTATATAATATATTATGTATAAATTAATAAATAAAAATTATTTCGGAACTAAATATATTTTATTAGAATAGAATTTTTTGAATAACATATATGAGTGTATGTGAATTTGCTTATTAAAAGAAAATAATATCAAATTTTTGAAAATTCAATTTTTAATTCGAATGGAATAAATTGAAAAACAAAAGAAAATATTTAAATTTCCTGGAATTCAAATATTTTTATGAGCATTCAAAAATCATATTAACCATGTTTAGATCCTATATCAATCAGTTAACTTTAATAGTGAAGCTTTTTTTCGAAACTCTTTCGGAAATATAAAAATTTTTCTAATTAAGTATTTTAAGAATTAATCTTAGAGTTTTTGCATAAATAAAGTTTTTTTTTTTCAAATATAATTTCTAAGAATCTAGTATATTACAAATAAGGCAATTTCTTCGTTCTTTTTTTAATATTTAAGTTAACCGGATTTAATTCTTAAAAGAAAAATTGATTTATAGTATAAAATTGATTTTAAAAATTTTTAGAATGTATATATAAAATAGTAACACGTATACATACGAGTATATATGCTGGGTACCAAGTTAGAAGCCGAAATACAATCGGGTATAGAGGGTCAAAAATGAATAAAATTTTTGGATGGTTATGCCTCTTGTATTATAAAAGATTTTTTAGCGTTAAACCATTAAAAATTAAAGAGCTTAAGCCGCTAGGAAAAATAATGTTAAGAGAATTTTGGATGTTACCAAAGATTTTGTGAGGAATTGTCTGAACAAACAAAAAATAATAAAAAAACAAAAAATGAAGAAATTTTGTAATTTCCCTAAAATTTGAACGCTTGTATATCCAAAAAAAAAATAATATCTAAAATCAAATAATCCGCTATTATTTGCTTTAAGGCCTTTTAATAATCCTTTCCCAAATCTGTTTGTTTGAAGCTTTTAAATTTTTTTACATGTGTTAAAATTTTGCGAAATTTCTTTGAATTTTGAATTGAACTTTCTCCCGTAGCTCCGAAACGGTTTGAATTTTAACACTATATTCCGAACAAAAATTTTATTAATTTTCAATCCTATTACTCCTAACTTATTTACTGAATTACCCTGTATTCATACATGTATACTTGTATAACACATATAATATAAAAAGAAATGTTAAAAAAATTTTTATTATATGTTCGAGTTTAATGTAAATTAAAAGTTTGAGTTTTATGTAAAGGAAACTGAAATTTTAATTATAAAGTGGTTTACAATTCCGGAAACAGAATTTGATATTAATTATTATAATTGCAAATTACTTACATTAAATATATTCAATTAATTTTTGTTTTTTTTTTTTTAAACATATTGCATTTTAAATTTCCATTTAAGTATATAAATGACTGAATTAATATAAAAAGAAAAAAAATAGATAGAGGTGAAAATGAATACTTAAAAATTAAAATTATTTTGAACTTGAGGTATAATTAATTATCCTTTGATGTATACTCTTTGTAATTTTTTGTTATTTTTCTTCTTTTCTTATATATGATTTACTTCATTTTAATCGTGTATATATATATACAATACAATAATTATGTGTATCTAAATTTTTAATAATTAATAATCATCAATTATTATAGAATTTATTTTTAATTTTTTTAATCTTAAATAATTATAAATAAATTTTCATTTAAATTTTTTTTTTACATACATCAGAATAATAATTTTTAATAACGTATAATAATATTGACTTGTGTGTGTGTGTATTACTCAATTTTTTTTCTTTTTTTTTTTAATAAGTAAATAAATTTTTTTTTCTTTTTCATTTTTATCACAATTATTACAATATAATAATATAATATTTTTTTTACATATACATATATAAATAATTATTAATTTTATTGTTTGTTTTCATTTTTTAATTAATTTCATTCAAAACAGGGATACAAAATTTTTGAAAAATAAAATATAAATTTAATATTATGCATGGCGACATTGGTATTTTTTTTTTTTTAATTTATTAATTCTTAAGTATATTGAATTTTAGGTGTATATGTTATACGATATATTATAATGCTTATGTAGTATTAAGCATCACTATTATGGATCTATATTTAAAATTATAAGTATGTACATTATAAGTACATCCTTTTTTCATCCTTTATATTTGATACAATGAATAATTTTTGATATTAATATTTTATTTAAAACGTTCATTTACTGATAATTCCTCAAAATGATCAAATAATCGTTCCGATTCTTGTCATACATGAAAAAATTTTATGTAATGACGATTACAACATTTCATTCTTTAAAATAGAATAATATGTATATATGAAATTTGTTTATTGTTATTGATGTATGTGTATTATTCACTTGTAAATTTCTTATTCAAAGTGATGGTATTAGAATAATACAATGCAAGTTGCAGTATGGTTATTTTCTCCCGCAAAATTTAAACCAAACCTATCATTTGTAATTAACGTTTAGGTAATGATCTAAAATCATACATCATTTTCTTGACATACATATATACATATTTATTTTAGTTTTATTGGCGTTCTCATACAGTCTGTTGTTTAGATGTTAATTTTAAATTCGAACTGTTCTGCCAATTAATTTTTCTTTAATTCGAAAATCAAATGTGTTCCTATTCTTAAAAAAAAAAATCGATTCCCAGTCGATTTTCTTTTAACTGACTTTATATTTTTTTTAAAGAGCATTTTTTGTTTTTCATTAATATCGGCCTCATAAAGTGATGCAAAATATTATTTTAGCTGTTATATGCCTAATTTCTATAGCATTTTGTGATCATACTTAAGAATTAATTTTAAAAAATAGCATAGTTTTAGAATAAATTAATAGGAATAAAAAAATTTAAATATTAATTAATTAATCAACTAGATTTATAATTAATTCATTTGATTTTGTAACAGAAACAAAATTAAACAAAAAAAAACCAAAAAAAAAAATATTTAAAAATCTTCATTTTTTTTTTTAATTTTTCACTAATTTCAAAGTTTCTTTGTTTCTTTCATTACCATTACTAATTATTTTTAATATTTTAATAATTCAAATTGTTGTAAAATAATTAACTTGTGAAATAATATTTATTTTTTCTTTTCATTATGAATTTTCATTCGATAATTACAAATAATTATCATTAATTTTTTGAAATTTTTTTTCGTTACAGGAAATTTTTTAAAAAAACTTTGGTTTTTTTTGTTTTTTACTTCAACAAACATTAATTTTTTTTTGTTATATTTTATTTATATAAGTGCATTAATATTTTCTTGTAGAGAAATTCACTTTTATTTTTATACACTTTTACAAAAACATCCTTATACAACTTAAGTTTACAACGTAAGCTTTTGACAAGATATTCTTTGTATGTATTTATTTTTTGTTATAAATGTACATAATATTATGTATATAAATAAATCTATATATAAATTTATTACTATATAATAAAATGTGTACATATACTTGTATTATATTATGCACTGCTGTTTCTATATTCATTATTTTCAATATATGTAGCACTTCAATTTTACTGTTTACTCTGTTCTTGCGATGTTGAATCTTTTCTAAGTACTGTAATAAGTATTGCACCTCTAATTATTCGCAAGAAATCGATGATTTCTGTTGTTGACATATTTTCAATCGATTCCTCATTAACCTATATATTATATATATATATAAAATATATATATTGAAAAAATATAGAATGAAAGAAAGAAAAGAAAATTAATAATAATGATAATAAATAAAATGCATTTATGTTAAAATAATATTATATTTTATATGAAAACTAGAATAAAAATATATATGTATATTTTTTTTAATTTTAAATTATTATTGTAAAATATACATACAGTCCAATTATCGTAAAATGTTTTACAGTGAATTGTTACAGTCGAATACAATTGGTACTAATCACTGAATTAATTTACACGTGCAAATTCTATTTATGTTATAATGATTGTATTATATTAGGTCCATAAACGAAAATATGATATCTGACAAAAGAATTCATAAAGGTTTAGCAGCTATTGTAAAAACTTTAACAACAGCAACCAAAATGATGACAATTAAAATGATGACTCCATCAGCCAACTTGTTGTTTCTTCATTTGAATACGATCGCCTTTACAATTTCTAAGATATAACCAAATTATTGTTTGATTATTATTCGAAATTATTATTCGAAATCAATCGCCAAATCCATTTTTGTACAGCTTATTGTATGCCATTTTTTGCTTATTGTATGAATTATAATTTCTTAAGTACGAATCGAAACTAAATAAAATTCATACCGTAATATATATTTCAGCATTTTGGAAAATTTGGTTATCCCATATAAATGGGTCTCGTTTCTGAGTTATCGATTGGATAAATTTATAGACAGAAAGACATAAACCGGCATAAATTTTAAAGCAGAGGGATAAATTAATAATATGTACCTTTCGAACACTTGTTCGTACTGGTATTCACATTACAATAAAATTGAAATCATTTGTTAAAAATGCTTACATTCAACTCTATAATAAAAGTATCTAGATCTAGATCGGGTTTAATATTAAATTGACTAAAATAAAGGTATAACTCACTCATATAATACATTTGTTCTATACAGTCTAATGATGAGAAATTTTTTTTTATACTTCAAATACGAGTATGCTGTTTCTACTTTATACTTCTTCTGTTCTGCACTGCATAATTTATTTTATTAAAAATTCATCAACTTTTTATAAAAATTTTTTCTCTTTAATATTTTTATTTTTAAATAATAAATCTCAAATAAATAAATTGGCTTTAATAAACTATCTTAAGGTAATTGTTATAATAAATGTATATCGCATGTCATTTTTGTTATACTTTCGAAGAAATTTTAATTTCAAATACATGCGTTAGTAATGCAATTATAAAATGGTATTAAATTTTTAATGAGGATATTGAGTATTAAATAATAATTGTAAAAATGAACAATTGTAGATGAAAACTGTTTATTTATTATTTTTTTTTAATTATTTATTTTTAATTAGCGTAAATAATTCATAACTTAAAACATTTTAAAATAACTCCTATAATTAAGGAATTTTTCATTAGTTTTACTCGGTTCGTGTATGCGTGTTGACAAAAAACCATTTTGTTTTACTATAAATATTGGTTTTTTGAGAATTTCTGGAGAGTCAATACAAAGAAAAAATTAAAAAAATTGTACCTTATTATACATAATATTTGCCGAAGTTTTACTGCGATGCGATAAAAAATTAATTGCAAATAACGGAGCCATAAGTCATCCATATAAATTAAAAAATTTAATCAATTATAAAAGAAAAAATTTTCTTTTTTACAAAATACTATCGGCAATAATCGCCATAGAACAAAAATTTCCAAAAATAATATAATTTTAAACAATGTGTTTATTAACTTACTAAAAAAGTATAAGTAAGTTATTGTCTGTAAGTAAAACTTACCAAGTATTCATAAATAGGTCAAATTTATGCACTTTTGAGTGAAAGTATATATATACATAATCTCAAAGTGAATAAAGTCAATTTAATTTATTCTTATTTTGTGCAGCATTTTTATTATAACCTTTTGAATTCTAAATACAAAGAGTTGAAATGACCGTATACTTTAAATTAAAATTAAAGTTAAATTTAACTTACTGTAATACCCAAAATAAAAAACAACTTCTTACTTAAACTCATTGCTTTGATAAAAAAAAAAAAATCGCTGTTTTGTAATTTTTATTCTAAATCAAACACCATAGTGGTAAAGGATTGATTTTTTTTTCTGCAAAGAATTCTTTAGCATTTTTACCGACCCGGCATTGCATGCAATAAGGAAGGTTAAGTGATGACACCAAATTTCACGTGCCAGATTTTGTGCTAGGTTTTTGTTCCCATGTATTTCGCCATGCTATTAAGCGTAAATAAACTATTTTTACTAGAGATTTCCTTCGATTTGTTTGTGTAGGTCAGTATTTCAAGTTTTGCTGGACCGATTTTAACGAAAATTTATATCTGAGTGTGTATTAAGGATGAGAGTGATTTTATTATCTGAGTGTCTATATATCTGAGTGTCTATCAAGGATTTGATCAACTTTTGGGATATGCCAGGCCTATGGAATTAGATCTTCACTACGGGCCGAATCTACATTTTTACAACATATTGAAGGAACTAATTGATAAAATTTATTTAAATTGAATATTTGAGTTTGCTACCAGAAGTAAATAAAGAACTTTCCAAGGAACCAGGATAACATAAAGTAAAAGTCTACTAAGAGCCAAATTCAGATTTTTCTAGATATTTTAACTTAAAATAAAGTTTTGCTAGGTATGCTTGTCAGAGTCCTTAAAATTTAAAAGAAGTAATTAAATGCATTCTCTTCATCTTACTTAATTAAACAATAAATCCTGCGATCGGAGATATGCTGACCACATCAGATTTTTTTTTTACCTACATTTTTTTTTTAATCTGTTTCAAAATCCTATTAAAGTTAAAACTTTGTAAAATATCCGATATTTAACTTTTCAAATTATATTTTGTTTGCATAACTTCGTGAACTTGTTTCTTTTTTTAGCACAATATTCAAAAACATTGTAAATGAAAATTGTTTTAGTTCATTTTTTTTGTACATCTGCTTATAAAAATTTTTACTGCCTTAATACAAAAATATTTTACGTAGATGCTCGACTTCACCAACACGTTAGATAGCTCTTCGCAATAGTAATAAAATGTAAATTTTTTACATTTTCTGAAAATTTACAGATCAACTTCATTAGACCTCAAGAGTTTAAAGATTTCAATAAATATTTAATTTAATTCAAAAAAATAAAAAGTCTTTCTACTTCATCTCTCTGTGATAAATTTCTACCTTTCTGTGATAAATACCAACTTTTTGTTAATTATTTGTTCGACAACATAAACTTCAGTGAAATACCACTGAATTACTTCAGTGAAATACTAATTTAACTAAAATAATTCACTTTATCTAATTGCGTAGATTTTTGTTTCTAAATTATTATTTATTGAATGTTCCTAAATTGATTCAATTTTACAGACCACAATATAAGAGAATGAACATAACGTCTCAATATTTAGACCTTAAAATTTTAATGGTTGTGGATTTAAGTAGGAAATGTGCTATTTTGAAATCGTAATTCTAAATGGCTATATTTTTTTGGTTAGTGTATTTTTTTCGTTTGTAATTTTTTCTATAGGTGAAAATTTTATGAAGATATTTAAAAAATGTTTTACCCTGTAACATTAAGAGAAATTTTCATAATGTTGGAAAGGTTTATTCTATAAACATTACAATATTCAAAGTTCCCACAATCCGAATTTAGTAAAACAATAAAATAAAAATAACGCGTTGTTTTTGTTAAGAAGTTATCTTGATTCAGTTATTTTGTGCTTTTGCTTTAAGGTTAAATTTTTTTTCTTTTGTTTCTAAAACCCAGAATATGTTAACATTTAAAGCCTTTATCTTTTCTCTTAAGTAAACTTTTATTCTCAATGTTTAAGTTATTATATAGCTTCTACGGAACTTTCTTCACCTATACATATTTCTTATAATATTTTAGAAATTTCATTATTGTGTTACATGTAACTGTTGAAATATCCCTCTTGACTTTAACTGTCATAACACTTCAAATTAGAATGTATCTGATCTTGTAAAACGCTAAAGGAAAAATTCATTATTCTACAAGTTTTACTTTTTTTTTTTAGTCCTCTCTCAAAATGAGAAAGAAAAGAATATGGGGAAGAGAAAAACAAAAAAAAACGAAATGAAAAGAAATTTAATAAAGTCTTTAATAAACTCTTTAAGCGTATGTAAAAAACGACGCTCGCAAACAAGGAAAATGAGCGAAAACGAAAATTAAATTCTGTCAAATGTCAATCAAAAAGAAAAAAAAAATTAAATAAAACTTTATCCTTTTCTGGTTTCTCTTCTATGTATATGTAACATGATAAATGAAAATTGGGGGAAAAAAATATATGGTACATTTGGTTGTTAAATAAAATTCAGGGTTTTTCAGATTTTATCTTTTAAATTTTGCATAACGTATATGAAGGTATGAGTATAAAGTTGTAACATTTATGCATTTTTAAGTAGATAAGATTTTAAAGGGAATTTCGTTACATGTACATACTAAACTTTATAAAAATTCTTTTAAGTTTTACCCCAAAATCAATATAATTTTGCAATTTTATTCAATTCATTTTAAAGAATTTAAATAGATTACCATTAAATCCAAAATATTTAATATTGATGTGAAATATGTTAAAATGAAAAAAATTAATTGAAAAGAAATGTAAGTCTTCTTCCCATAAAATTCTTATAACATTAGAAAAATTCCATGTTACGTATGGTTTTTTCCATTATAACATTTAAAATTAAAGTTCCATTGTGAGAATTCATGAAAGAAAATTTCCTGAGAGCGTTCTTCTATTCATCTAATTTTCGTAACGAAAATTGAACATTTTTAGTTTATTTTTGAATATTATATAATGAAAAATATTAAAAATAACATATTCTTGCACTTACATTACGTAATAAAATATATGATTTAAGAAATCAATGAATTCAACCAGATAATTATTTATTAAATACAAATTTAATTCGAAGAAATTTCACAAATTTAAAATTTAATTTATTAATATGCATATAAAAATAAACTCACTGATACTAGTATATCTCCAACACGTAATCTTCCATCTCTCGCAGCTACACTATCATTATAAATTGCACTAATATAACTTTTATTTTGGAATTCTTTTGATGGCTGTAAACTAAAACCTAATCTACTGTTCCAACCTCTATTCAATTCAACTGATACAATCTGAAATAAAATAAATATTAAAAAATTAATTTAAATTAAAATTTTAAAAATTTATTAAAATTTTTGATATTTTTTTTTTGTCTTATGCTTGTATATCTTAATTTAATTCCAAATATCATAAATAATAACTCGTGTCTTTATAACCAATATAGTCATATTGCATTATACACACATTAAAATAAATAAAAATCAATAAAACCTTGTAACATAATCATTTATTATTAAAAATTTCAATTTAACACTGAAAATTTCTTTCCAGCAACTTTTAATATTATTTTAAAAGCAAATAATTGCTAAATATTTTCAGATTTGGAATAATTAAATTTTTGGAATAATCAGAATTTAATTATTCCAAAAATTCATTCAATACATACAACCTTAAAATAATGCTTAATAATAACAATGAAATAAATGTCAAGAATTCAAAATTATTCAATTTATAAAATAAATTAATGTTAAAGATTGCGTATAAGAAATAAATAATTAATTATGTTATGCTATGGTTGCATATTTTTGAAAATTTTCAGTTTTATTAAAAACTTTATTGAAAAATTCTCACATTTCAAAAAATGTTAAGTTTTTTAGAGTACATTCGATTCGGATAAAAAATTATCCGAATCGACTGTAATCTACAATACAAATTATCGGTTAAATAAGCTGTATTTTATGAAGAATTCAATACCTCATCATGTTTATACATAATTATTATAAAGTTGATTTGAGTTGAAATACATCTGTTATCCTTTACAGTATCTTTAAATTAAAACGAGCGTTAATATTGCCTTCAATATTCTGACAAGAAAAATTATGAATGATCTCTAATATTCCTAAAAGTTTTTAATTAATTAACAAAAATAATGAAATAATTTTTATGAAATTTTATGCTCCTTTATTTATTATGTATGTTCAAAATGCCATAGAATTAACAAATATTTTGATAAATAAATTTCAACGAAATGAATTTGATAGCTTGTATATAACAAGTTATAACTAAATTTCTTATAATTAAAAATTATTTTTTGTTGCCCAACCATATACCCATGTTCAGTAAAAAAACTTACAAATACCTAGAAAATTAAATTTGAAATAAGTTCTGCCTGCGTACAAAATTTACCATTCTATGAATTTAAAACAATTTTCTTAAAATGAAATTGTATATTGGCTTTTATAAAATATAATGTAGATACTTATATAATGTAGATAATTTATATAATTTATATCTACATATAATACATATTCAGGGTTTTCACTATAATGAATCATACCAGCACCAGCATGTAGAACTTAGTTAGTAAGGAACGAGAAGTGTAAGGAACAAAAATTGTTCCATAAAACGCATATCGTCGGCTGAGTGCTATTTTGATCCATTCGCCACTTTCAAAATTTCTGACTTAAGGACACTTTTATAGGTTTTCGACGATGATCTTTCAATATATGTAATCAGATTTTCGCTATCTCATTTAGTTTCGTAGAGACGCCGACGTCATTTTGATCCACCTCCACTTAAAATTAAATTTGGGATGCATTTTGATCCATTTCCATACATATTATGTCGCAATCGATTCGTAAGGCCAGGACATTAAAAGGCAAATTTTCCTCTTTCGCCTGACTTCATGGATAATAGGCTTTAGTTTTAACTACAACGGTACTTTTGCGCATGCAAGCTAGAGTTGTACAGTAGGTTGTATATTAGTAGGTCTCCGAAAAATTTATTTTAAATCAGTTTTTTATACTAAAACAATAGGCTAGCATGCTACCGAAAAAAGTATCGTTATTTAAAATAATCAAAAAAAAGTGATTGTTGTATCTGAACTAAAACGGCTATGAAGTTTCAAATTTTTAGAATACTACACAACCTGTTCTAGCGCATTTCTATTTTTAACACACCGAAAATTATAGCGTACTTTTAACAAAATCAAACGAAAAAAATTGGCCTGAATCTAAACTTAATCTTAATCAATTTAATTAGTTGGTATTTTCATCCCTTATGAAATGTACTCGTATTTGCTATATGTTATGCTGTACTCGTATAACATATACCAATATATATTTCTTATTGTTGTTAAATTTAACTTTAAGGTTCATTATGTATATCTTATATCAAATAAAATTCAGAAATTTTTAAAATAAAATTATGTGCATGATAAGATGATTTTGGAAAGTTTCCTTATTATGATTCTGAATATTGCAATAGTAACATATTTATAACGCGAATTTTATTTTGAAATCCGTAAGTATTGTGCATACATTCTCAAAATAATGAAAGGGTACTTTAGGAAATCAGGAAAATGATGGGTTGGTTACAGCATGACGCTGCTCTATCGTACATATTAGGAGATAATCCGTAAAATTAGGAGTTGTTTGGTCGTTGATATTTTCCAGATGTAAATTTAACCAATTGTGGATAAAATGTAACATAAGTCGGCGCCAAACGGTTGCGTAAAAAATTTTATTTCAAATTTAATCAATTGTGGTAGTGACTGAAAAAATGTAAATAAAATTATTATCTCAATTATTATCACAACATGAAATTGCACTAATCAAAACAAAAAAAAAAGATTTTTTCCACTTTTCGTACAAATATATCCGATTCTGAAGGGGAGACGCATTGTTCTATTTAAATTTGCCTGAAATTCTTTTCAACCAAATTTTACTCCCAATTTATAGGCCTATAGTTCAGAAATCAAAAGTTTTACTCTCCTGAACTTTTAAAAATTTTTTTTATAATAAAGCCCTTAAAAAATAAATAAATTTATAAATTTAATAGAATAATTTAATAGAATAATTATAAATTTAATGGAATTACACAATTTTAACATAAACAATAATATTTGCAAAATTTTATAAAAAAAAAAATAATTTTGTAAAAAATTTCATTGCAAAAGTAGACAAAATTTTTGTTGTATCTTTTATCTTCAAAAGAGTAAAATTAGAATATTATTGTATACAATTTTATAGATCTCAATTACTAAGTATATGTATGTATAAGGTTATATAAAATTTTTATGCCCATATTATATAATATGAATATGCATACAAAATAATTAATATACATATAAAAAGGATTACCAAAAATTTGCAACTTATAGAGCAGACTATAATATTGTATGAATAATATTAGAAATTCTATTTTACCTATGCATAATTTAAAACTAAATTTTACAAAAAAAGAGTTACAAAAGATTCTGTAGAATTAATTTGAAACAATTAAATTCCTGATATACATACATATGTAGGTATGTAAATTATATTTTGTTTTCAAAATTTTAAAATAGAATACATATTATAGCCTTGTATCAAAATAACAATAATTATGATTTTATGCTTTGATCTTTTACCCATAGATGTATCTAGATAACAATAATATGATGCTTTCAGATTATTTTAAGGGAATATTAAGGTGAATATTAAAAGAGGCTAATAACAAATTTTATATAGATACATGCATGGAAATATTCGATTTCTATTTATGTGATGTTGTGCGTGTACATAGGCATTCATATACTATCATAACTCAGTATTGTAAAATATTTTTCAAGTTGTAATTAATGAAAACATTTCAATCATACTTCTGTAAATTTCTTTAACTAATACTTGTTTTAACTAAAAATTAAATCTATTTCTTCGAATAAATTTTGCAATTTTACATTTTATTCTAATTCTAGAATGCTCAAAAAAAAATTGAATAAATTTTAAAGTAAAGTTTAAAGCAAAATGTTTTTAAAAGTTTTATGGTTTATGTAGCTAAAATTACTACTTTTTTTTGGTATAGCACCATATTTTCGAGCCCTTATTCTATACGTTATAATAGCAATTACTCAAAGTTTTTGAAATAAAGTTAATATCACAAAATTAATTTACTTTTCATAATAAGTAATATTCAAACTAGTGCACTTATAGTCATATACCTCGTTTTTTTCATTTACATGAGTAAGAATTCAATAACTTAGTGCAAAATCTGTCTAAGACATAAATTAAAATTTCCCAGAAACAAAAGAATTAAAGTTTGTACATAGAATCGTTTCAAAATTACGCCAATATTGCTGAGTCTAGCATAATGTTGTCACATTGTGGGTAAAAATATTTATTTTAAAATTTTGTTTTTTTTCCTATTATTTCATTTTGATTAAGTGCAACTGTAACGGCCGGTGTCATAATTGCAGGCATTATAATTTTCTTCTGAAATCATCAAATATTTATTATAAAGAAGTAGTGAAAGAATACTTAAAATAACTATAAGAAGAAAATACTTTAATACACTAATAGAGGGTCAAATATATCCAAAAAACTAATGTAGATTATATGTAGTCTCAATGATAATTGGACCAGTGCTGAAATTAAACAGAGACTATTTTAATAACGAGATTCAACAGTATACAATATAATTATATAAAATTTTTTATATAATTATATTGTATTAATTTAATTAATTTTTTTTTTAAAAAAACACTAAACATATCAATTAGTTAATCTTTTGCGATTGTCAATAGTGTTTAGATTTCCATACATTAAAAATTAATTTTGTTCTGTTCCTGTTTTTATACTGTATCAACAATCAAAAACTACATAATATTGGAGTTCATTAATATTGCAAATATTTTGCGGAAATAACGATTTTGCAAATTGTTTACAATAATGACGTTCTGGAAAATACTTTCTTTTATATATTTTTAAAGAAAAATTATATAGAATTTTCAAATACCTTTAAAATAAGGGATTACAACGATGGAGTTCGTTTCTCCAATTACTCAAGCATTTTTAGATTTTGTTAGGAAAACTCTTAAAGAACAAACATTATCTAATAAAAAGATAAAGCATTATCTTTATCAATAATTTTCAAACGTATGATATAAGAATCGTCTTGATATCAAACTAAAGTAAATTCGATAATGCAACATGGTTTCAATGTAAATTTCATTTGAAAATAATGAACAAATTATAAATTGTATTATACAAAATTGACACCTGTTTTCCTGTCATTCGCACACTTAACAATAATA